TTTAGATTAGATTCTTTTTTCAAAGGGACTTGCACCCTCTTACAATTTAATACTTGATTGCTAAACACACAATAGAAACACCCTCCTATCGAGTTTAACAAATCAGTAATTGTTTTCAGGAATTGTTTAAATAAATAAATAAATAAATATTGTTTGTACTAAATGTTTTAGATTCTTTTTTCAAAGGGACTTGCACCCTCTTACAATTTAATACATGATTGCTAAACACACAATAGAAACACCCTCCTATCGAGTTTAACAAATCAGTAATTGTTTTCTAATCAGGAATTGTTTGTTTATATAATTTCGATACTGAAAAATAAGCCTCTTATGTCAAATGCCAGGAAATAGCAAAATATTTTAACCTGACATTGAGAATTCCATAGATAGGAGCCACAACTAAATTACCCTCTTCTCACTTTCCTTTGAACCTCTTTTTAAGTTAGACCTTGGATGTTGATCCCAGGTTATGGGCAGGTTCTTTCTAAAGTGGTAGGATTCCAAACCATGTAGATCTTTATGACTTAAAGCAGCCACTTTGTTATCAGCCTGATATTATGCACTTAATGTTTTCTGTATTCTCTTCAGGGATTATTAAAGAAGAATAAGTTTTTTGAATGTTGTATTCTTGAAAGCAAAGATCTTTTACCCAAACAAGAAATAATTTCATTTTGGAAGGGTTATAGGGCATCATAACCAATAGTTTGAAGGAAATATATACAGTGGACCCTCGACTTACAGATGGCTCGACTTACAGACTTTTCGAGTTACAGACTTCTCTGGCTGCAAAATTTAGGTTCGACTTGCAACCAGAGAATCGACCTACAGACCAGAAAAAATCCAAAACGGAACAAAGACAGCTGGTTACAGATTAATCAGTTTTCAATGCATTGTAGGTCAATGGAGATTCGACCTATAGACTTTTCAGCCTGCAGCCACCGTTCCAATACGGATTAATTCCATAAGTAGAGGGTCCACTGTATTGTTTCTGGTGATGGGTACACTAATTTTGCTTAGGTTTATTGAGTCGTTGTAAGATACATGTATTTTGTTTCTCTTTTTTATATATATCGATTTATTGTTAAACAATTTTTAAAAAACTCTGTGAGTCATTCCCCATCCCCTAGGCCAAACTTTAAAAAAAAATGGTTCTGCTTTGTTCTCTGCTTTTGTATTCCAGTCACATACGATTATAAACATGTCTTATTTTGGTGTGTGATTAATTTTCTCTTAGACATTTGTGTAAAAGCTATCAGTTTCATCTTCTTTGGCATTTTAAAAAACTTTACGATTATAAACATGTCTTATTTTGGTGTGTTTTTACTCCCAAAAACACATTACGGCTTATTTTCAGGGGTTTTTTTTTTATTTCATGTACAATAATCTACATTTATTAAAATACAGTCATGTAATCTGGTTGCTGCACAATGGTGGAGGGTGGGGTTTCACTTAACTGGGGCTTATTTTTTGGGTAGGGCTTATGTTGCAAGAGTCCTGAAAAATCATACTAGGGCTTATTTTCAGGTTAGGTCTTATTTTCAGGGAAACAGGGTAGTTAGAGCATAGACTTGAATGATGGTTATGTTTATTTATTTATTTATTTAATTTATATTCCGCCTATCTAGTCGTGGTGGATAGGTTTTCCATGGAGTTGGATTGATATTATTTGGTCAGATGTTTCATTATAACTGATAACTGCCTGTGCTACATTTTGCCTCATAATTTAATTTATATTCCGCCTATCTAGTCGTGGTGGATAGGTTTTCCATGGAGTTGGATTGATATTATTTGGTCAGATGTTTCATTATAACCGATAACTGCCTGTGCTACATTTTGCCTCATATTAGAGCTGCTCCATTTCTCCTGAGTTTGTCATTTCCAGACTAAAACACTTTGTAGTTGTCTGACTGAAAATGTTCCATTTTAGTCTACTTTCGTTCACTGACACCAAGCAATATTTATATGTTCAATTTCTTGCTTTATGGTTTCCAGTTTACTTTGATTCATACTTTTCATGTTCCATGTTCCAATTCTGTGTGTTATATAGTTTTGGCCTTCATCTAAGGGCCAGGTTAGTTTACTGGATTATGTGGGATGGCCTACAGGAGCTGATGTTCTTGTTACCTACTGCTAATTGTTACCCTGATTTTTGAAAATAGTGCTGTACTTGGGCTAAGTCAGAAGAGGAAACAAGGTCCAAGCTTGCGAATTAGGTTGTCAAGTTACAAACATAATTTCCAACTGAAAACATGCACTTATTACAGAGTAAATACAGCTGAACCCAGAATGCTTCCAGATGGAAAGCTCATTATGCTGAGAGTTAGAAGGCAATGTGCAGCTATTCCACACTTAATCCCTTAACATATTTTCCATAGAAAACAAAAACAAAGATAGAAAACTTGTAGAACGGGGGGAGGGAGATATATGATTAGAGGACAACATTTGAAGCCCCTTTGTGGCAATGGAACCAGTTACTTCGAGAGGTGGTGAGTACTCCAACATTGGAAGCATTCAAGAGAAAATTGGACAACCATCTGTCAGATTTGCTTTGATTTGGATACCTGCCTTGAGCAGGGGACTGGACTCATTGGCCTTATGGGTCCCTTCCAACTCAAGTATTCTATGATTCTATAATTCTACAGTTCAGCAATCAAGACAGGATGGTATAATAAATGCCTTGTCCGGACTAGTTTTAGAGAGTTTTAGTTATGATCACAGTTAACAAGGTGGTCATGAAAACGGGCAAAATAGAAAATAGACGTTTCCTGAAATACATTTGAAGAATGATATCTGCCTTTCCTAAAACTGTAACTGTCTATCACTCTTTTGACACAGATACCAACTGGAATTTTGCAATTGGAAAAAACTTGAAAAGAAAAAAAAAAAAAAGATAGAAAGAAAGAAAACTATTTTCTTAATCATTCATTTCATATAAGCATGATATATCTGTTGATCTCAGCTCATTATGTAGTTTACTGTCTGAGAATTAGGTTTCTGCCCTTTTTGAATTGATTTCTCCTCTAAAGGAGAAAGTTGTTAGATTAACTACTGGGGCAATGTGTAACCTTATTCCATTTGCACTGTGCCATATGTGAATGTTTGTCTCCAGCGTCTTTTGAAAGTAGTACCCATTTGTCATATCAGGTAATCTTTGTCTTTGCTTCTTTATAGATTGGTGATGTACATTGAAAGAGACAGCAGAAAGACCACCCTAGGAAAAGAGAAGCAAACTAGCAGTGAATACTTGTCAAAATGCCTGGATATTCTTATCTGTTATATTGTGCAGGAGCTGCCACACATTCTAGGTAAACTGTATTATCCCCTATAAAAATGGATTTTCTCTTTTGCTTTTTGTGTACTGGCAGAAATCTTGTGCAACTCTTCATGCATAGTGGAGATGGTGTCATCATCAGCAAATTGCTTCTGATTAAGTCATATGTACCCTGATTATTTCAGGGTACGTGTGACTTAGACACAATGGAGTGAAGTTGCATATAATCACCAAAGGAAGCCATTAAACACTAGTGATTTGCTGCAGCATTGCTACTGTGCACACAGAGCTGTACAACAGGATTTCACCCAATGTATAGTAAAATCTTGTTGAGTAATGATTGGTAACTATTCAGTAATTGAGCATTGCATTGGTGGCTGGCTAGGCAATCTGTCATGTTGAGATGGGCATGATGTAACCCCAAGCATTTTTTTGCCTCTCCAATCCTCCCAACATAATAATTTTTTTCTCACTTAATAAAAATCAGTGTTATGATCCACTGCACCAAAAAGGGCAGTACAGTTTCTATCACAGTTCCTTTGCAGCTATTTTAGGTTTATTCCAACTTGCTTTTACTTATTTATTGTCCTGATATTATTTGCGGTCTTCATTTTGTTCAAAATTGTATTTCAAAACTCAATTGACTCTAGGTTATAATTGACTTAATTGGCAGAGAAAGTTTTTTATTCATAGTAATGCCTTCTGGTTTTTTAAGTACTTTAAGTGAAGATTTCCTCCTGCAATTAAGATAAGGAACTATGATTTTTAATTAAGATAATATGTCAGCAGTATTAAAACAGTAAACATTAAAAGAAGTAGAAATAAAAATAAAATAGTAGTGAAGAAGCCTGGAAAGCATCTTAGAAATGCACCTCCAATTTTTGCCAGCTTTTGCAGGGGAGAGGGTTGCTGTACATGGACTTCTGGTCAAATTAGAATGTGGTTCTTTTTCCTGCCAAGACTGCCCACCCCTGCCTTTGGGGCTGCATAGGTGGGCATGGCCAGGCATTCTCACACTTTCCTCCCTCTGGTTCTTGTACATCCAGCATTTTGTAATGCTAAAGTTTGATGGAGTAAAATGAGTACTAGTGTTAGCTGAGAATGAAGCAATGACAGCAGTCATAATTAAGGAATGTATTTTGAGAACTTATTCTCAGTCTAAATTAGTGATGGGCATGACTAAAGTCATGCCATGTCCTATAAAACTGTCAGCACAAAACCAGAGGTGCCACATGGACCCTCCCCCTGCCCCCCCAGGCTGTCTGGCCCACTGATCTGTCATGCGCTGCTGGGGTCCTCCTCCTCCAGTGGCACTCCGATCCAGGAGCTCAGCCTAACCTTTCCCACCTTCTTCTGCAGCCGACCACTCCTACAAGGAGACGGGACGGATTCTTTCCATTTAGCTGATGAGTGGTCGGTTGTTAGAGGAGGTGGGGAGGGGCAGCCTGAGCTCCTGCCCAGACTAGAGCACTGCTGGAAAAGGAGGACCCCGGTGGTGTGTGACAAATGGTGAGTAGGCCAGCAGGCCCAGAGTCTGGGGGAGAGTCATGCCCATCTTTAGTCTACAGTTGTGCCCTGCTTTACGATTACCCCATTTAACAACAAATCCGCTTGACGACGATGTTTTTGCGATCGCAAAATGATGGTTTGAATGGGGTTTTTCCACTTTGCGATGATCGGTTCTCTGCTTCGGGAACCGATTTTCGCTTTACGACGATCAAAAACAGCTGATCGTCGGGTTTCAAAATGGCCACCGGGTGTACAAAGTGGCTCCCCGCCGTGTTTAGGAGCCATTTTTCGCTTTACAGTCACCCGAAAATAGCTGCCCCTATGGAGGATCTTCGCTGAACGGCGAGTTTTCAGCCCCTTGGAACTCATTGAACAGTTTTCAATGCATTTCAATGGGCTTTTTTATTTCGCTTTATGACATTTTCACTCTACAGCGATTTTGCTGGAACGAATTAACGTCGTTAAGCGAGGCACCACTGTATATCTATATATCTATATAAAAATAGGAGTTGTAGGGTTAATCTTAATTTATATTTATTGCCATGGATGGAAAAATCTGTTTTGAATTTCACAGAGGGAAATGGGGAGAGTTAACTATATTCTGCTTCTCCATTGCAAATTATTCTCTTTACAGAATTGTTGGTGTATTCTTATACTAGAGTAATGTGAAGTTAGCATCTTAGTGTCCAAAAGTAAACTGATTTCTTTGATGCCTTAAACTTCTTCTATCTTTACATGTAAACAACATTGAAATCTCAGAGTCTTCCAGTAGATGTAGCTGTAAACTATGTATATTAAGCTATTCATTTTCAAAGTAAGAATTCGTTTTTTAAATCTAGATCATACTGACTATAAAAATGCTTATTAAATGCTGTTCAATTGTCTGTCAGCCAGAGCTTCAGCAATGCAAAATGTTAATTTTGCCTCTTCAGCTAAAATCATATCTAATTTGAGACAATTCTCAGCCCTTTTCTCATTATCATATAGCTAATTTTTCAGTTATATAAACTGAAAAAGATGTATAGAATATGAAGATAATGGACAGGTATTTTGCCTAGCAACTAACTGTTCCATAACAAAAGTTCTGGCATCTGAAAGCAGCAATTGCAGTGTGAGTCTGAGTCTGTAAAGTATACAAGGGTTAATTAACCATGTACCTAAAATAGCAATCTAAACCACAAAAATGGAAAAGGGCACAGCTTAGTTTTATAGATTATAATATTGTGTATTGCCCACAAGGTTCCAACCATAGTAGGGGATGTAATTAATAAACAATGGCATCCTCCTTCAGCTGGCTAGGTCCCTTTAGCACTGTGGATGGCTGGTCCTCTGAAATCCAGGTGGAAGGAGCCTGAATATTTCATTCAGTGTGGGACTAGACACAGAAAAATGTAAATTCACTTGCTATAAAGTTGCCCAAGGGAATTCGGGTTTCCTCGGGTCTGTTTGCATCAATCTGTGTTGCAGGATGCATGATTACAGGAAAATTAACTTGTTGTTTTTTAGTTGTTGTGTCCGAATCTTTGTGACCCCATGGACTAGAGCACGTCAGGCCCTCCTGTTCTCCCGGAGTTTGGTCAAAGTCATGTTGGTAGCTTCAGTGACACTGCCCTACCATCTCATCCCCTGTCACCCTCTTCTCCTCTTGCCCTCACACTTTCCCAACATCAGGGTCTTCTAGCCTTCTCTTCCCATGAGATGGCCAAAGTACTGGAGCCTCATCTTTAGGATCTGTCCTTCCAGTGAGCACTCAGGGTTGATTTCCTTTAGAATTGATAGTTCTTCCACGTGGTCTCTGTGAATCACACATTTGGGTTAAATCAGCGCCTGCTATTTGAAAGCTGATAAGAAGGAGAGCTCAAGTGGTATAACTTTGTTGATGCCTGTAACATCAGAGTTTTCTTTACTACGCCACAGCTTGGAAACAAAACCAACTTGCTCTTTTTCTCTCTTAACCCTTCCTCCCAGAGAAATTGGCTTCTCATAAATTTATAAAGTCAGGACTTAAGAACTCTAAATAACTCGGCATAATTTAATCTAAGTGACTCTGTATCTGACTACAAGGTGATCTGTAAATCAAATAACATCCATGGAGTCCCCCCTCGTAAGACTTTAAGTGTGGACTAGCTAATAAATCATGTGGGAAATTTGAGTAACTAATCTGCTGACTGCTACGGCCATGGAAGGTGAGGGAGAATTATCATCACACCTGGCAATGATTCATATCAAGGAACTTCTTCAAGAATGTCAAAGGAACATAATTAATCATTTGAAAATGCAAATTGATGAGTGCAGAATGGACCTGAAAGTGACTTTTTCTGCTTTACACGAAAAGATCGAAAGCAAGGAGAAACTGCTTAACCAGATCTTTAATGAACAGTCTTCAATGCCGGAGAAACAACCACCATTGTCAGAGAGAGGCGAGGAATCTGTACGATCTGAAGAGAAACCAGAGTCAGAGAGAGAGAAGAAAAAGACTCCTTTTCTTCAAAGGATGACTAAAAAAGACAAAAGGGGGACGGGGAAGGGAGAATGTTTCTCAAGACTGTTCCAAAAAGAAAGAATGTAGAGGGGGAGGGATGGGCAAAGCTGAGGGCAGGAATTTACGATCAGAGATCACATACTATGTTGCTCCAAAACCAGAATACTGACTACATTGGGATCAAATTAGTCAATCGCATAGAAAATGTTTTTAAAAAATATTATAGATGGCATTTCAAAACTGGAAAACACTTTGTTTGTGAGGCATGTATATTGAGACATTAAATATGTGTGACCATAATAGTGACAATGTTGATAAGATTAGAGAGCCAATCCCGGTTTGATGACACTGGAACTGATAAATAGAAACCAGAAAGGAGGAAGTTACTTGCTAAATAAATAATAGAAGTCAATTGGTTTAAGATAGATATAACTAATATATAATTAATATATAAAGCAACATGACTAATATACTATAAGCATGACTAATATACTATAAGCAAATTTGTGCAAGGAGACAAAGCTCTTAGTGGAATAAGAACTCTGCTGTCTCTTTAGGGAGTGACGTGCTAAATGAACCCCATGGCACAGTGGCTGAACAGCAGTACTTCAGTCGAGCCTTTACTCACAACCTGAGTTCTATCCCAATAGATCCAGATAGCCGGCTCGAGGCTGACTCAGCCTTCCGTCCTGCCGAGGTTGGTTAAATGCAGACCCAGCTCATGGAGTGTGCTCTAGCAGTATGAGATGATTTATAAGTTGAAACAACATCAACAACAACTGGAAATTAAAGGAATACTCATGGCTCTGGAAATTCTCTACCCTTTATAATTAAATTGTAAACTGCCCACAGAGAGTTTTAAATGAGAGGGAGTGGTATACAGTTTAAGCTTTTTGCTTTTATACCACTCCATCCATGCATTGCTTTTTGCTTTGTTCTAGTATCAGGTGTTATTTGTATCTAGTATCCAAAGATGTTGCTTTGTTCTAGTATCTGATGCTGCAAAGAAAAATACTGCATAGGAACCTGGAATGTAAGATCTA